TGATTTCTGGAACAGAAATCTGTTTTGATTTATTGATTTTTTTTTCACCTAAAAAAATTTAAATTTTACTCAAAGTGGGTGGCCACATGTATTATAAGCCATTCCGTAAAGTTTTGAAATTTTTGATTTTTTTTGTAATTTTTTTTGGGCACCTAAAAAAATTTAAATTTCACTCAAAGTGGGTGGCCACAGGTATTCTAAGCCATTTTGTGAAGTTTTGAATTTTTTATTTTTTTATTTTTTTGGGCACCTCAAAAAATTTAAATTTTACTCAAAGTGGGTGGCTATAGATATTCTAAGCCATTCTGTGAAGTTTTGAAATTTTTTATTTTTTTTTATTTTTTTAGGCACCTCAAAAAATTTAAATTTCACTCAAAGTGGGTGGCCACAGGTATTTTAAGCCATTTTGTGAAGTTTTGAAAATTTTTATTTTTTTATTATTTTTCTTTTTTTTGGGCACCTCAAAAAAATTTAAATTTCACCCAAAGTAAGTGGCCACAGGTATTTTAAGCCATTTTGTGAAATTTTGAAATTTTTGATTTTTTTTGGGCACCTCAAAAAATTTAAATTTCACTCAAAGTGGGTAGCCACATGTGTTTTAAGCTATTCTGTGAAGTTTTGAAATTTTTGATTTTTTTTTTATTTTTTGAAAAAAATTCACCAAATTTCATATTTTCCCGAAATCTGACTTTTTTTTATTTTCTGGAAATTTTTATGAATTTTTCTAGAATTTTTCAATTTTTATGCATTTTCGAAAAGAAATTGTGAGAAAATAGGAGAATGCATTCGAATCGAAGCCTACAAAAAGTAGCTTCTCTTTTCTCGCCAAAAACTCATTCCGAATCAAGAATGCATTCGGAATCAGAATGCATTCGAATCAAGTATTTTTAACAAATGCATTTTTATTCCGAACGCAAAAATCGCTCCAGAATGCATTCCGGAAATTTTTTAACAAACGCCGTTCTGTTCCGAAATGCATTCCGGAACAGAATTTTTATTCCAGAATGCATTCCATGCGCATCCTAAGGCTTTTGGCTCCAGCCCCGGTACAACTGTACATGAGAAAATTTGTTTTTTTTTTTTTTTTTTGTAAATCCAATGTTGGCCGCGGGTCCTACATTATTTCTTAAAAAAATGTTTTTGGATCTGTAAAATCGAACGAGTGATCGGGTCGGCATTAATAAGACAAAAGAAGTAAACGGCAAAGTGCGACATCAGCTGGGACGCTCCTCGTAAAGAAGAAATCGATCTGACAGGTGATTGGCCCACGTGTCCGCCCACGCGGACTCGACCGTTGCGGGGGTTGCCGATTCAAAATGAGCCCCGATCTGACCCCCTTCCTCTTTCCTTCTTCGTCCCCCGAAGCGATTCGCGCAGTCCCATTCCATCTCTCTCTCTCTCTGCTCGCTCGCTTGCTGCTGCTGCTCCTCTCGATCTCCAATGGCGATTGCTGCCGAGACTCAGCCCCAGGAGAAGGTACAGCGTCCCCGCTTCATTCGCACTCCTCCAACGATTCTCTCCCTCCCCCTCCCTCCCTCTCTCTCTCTCTTCCATTTCTGGTGCCGATCTCTCGAAATGGAATCCGGCCGATCGTTCCGATCTGCGAACTAGGGTTTTCTTTCTTTCTTTCTTTTTGCCCTTTAACCGAGGCTGCAATCAATCGTGTAGAGTTAGCTTGGTCTTCGCTGGCGGTTATTCCTGATGGTATCGTCATTTGTCGGCGCGGCTAGGGTTAGCGCGGAGAAGGGGGGGGAGTGTGACACCGTGCAGGCGGGGAGCTACCTTCCTAGTTTTTAGCAGTTGGAAAATTTCAGATTTGGAGGTGTCGAGAGAGGCGGGGGGGAAGGGAGGGGGATGGTGATATTATGTGAGCTTGTCCCATGATCTGTCACCTCCTCCGACGTCTCGAAAGCATGTGCTTTCAACGGAGGGGGAAAAAAGCATGCTGAATCTCAGCTGTAGCTGGTTATTCTTGAGTGCGTCTTTATTTTAGATGAAGAAACAGTTCTTTCTTGGCGTGGCGTGGATTGCGAATACTACAGACTTTTAGATCGCTAACACGCGTGTGTGATTAGTTTTTGCTTATTGGAATTGAGGCTGGTAATGATCTCGCGGGGCTGAATTTATTTTTTTTCCTTGTGCAGTCCTCTTCAGAAGCTTCGGCAGCTGAGAAGCGGAGGTGGACGCTCAACGACTTCGACATCGGCAAGCCTCTCGGGCGGGGGAAGTTCGGGCATGTTTACTTGGCAAGAGAGAAAAGGGTTAGTCCGGCAATATATTCAATTGTTCTCGGATTTTTCCCGTGCCTTTTTACATACTTTTAATTTCTGCCACGGGTCCCAATTAAGGATTTTAGCTTCTTTGAACTGGACTATGTAGTATGTATATATATATATATCCTGCTTGTTATGTGAAATCTAATTTTGAGATGATTTTCTCTGATTAGAGCAATCATATTGTGGCACTGAAAGTTCTCTTCAAGAGCCAGCTGCAACAGTCTCAGGTTGAGCATCAGCTGCGACGCGAAGTAGAGATACAGAGTCATCTTCGACATCCCAATATTTTACGGCTTTACGGGTATTTTTATGATCAGGTGCGATGTGTTGTAAGAGCACTCTAACACGTGTGTTGCTTCATCAGACATCTTATATGTTTTGGGAGGATGAATGGTTAAGCAGCTAACTTTTGGTTCTTTTTCCTTGTCTTTAACAATATGGCAGAAACGAGTTTACTTGATACTAGAATATGCAGCCAAAGGTGAACTCTATAAGGAACTCCAAAAGTGTAAATACTTCAGTGAAAGGCGTGCAGCTACTGTAAGTTCTTGCTAGACGCCCTTTCGGATCAGCTTCCTTTTATTTTCCGCTTAATCTGAGCAGCGTCTTTCCTACCTTTCATACTTTCATCATGGCTACTAAATTGGCCTTGGAGAAATGGGCTGATGCATGGTGGATTGATATTCTGACTCTAGCTAAGAATAGCTACCCTGCTGTCTTCGAGCATGTTTGGCGGAATTTGCTTATTTTATCAGTCGAAATTTTTGTTGAGATCCGTCCCTAACAACATAATTGTTGCAGTACGTCGCATCTTTAGCTCGGGCACTCATTTATTGTCATGGCAAGCATGTCATTCACAGAGATATCAAGCCAGAGAATCTGTTGATTGGTGCTCAGGTGATAAATGGTTACCGTATCTTCTTATACTTGATCGATCGATTACTTATTCTATATCTTCTTAATGCTTTGTTTGGTCTCCTTCATTTTCAGGGTGAACTTAAGATTGCAGATTTTGGGTGGTCAGTACATACATTTAATCGTAGAAGAACCATGTGCGGAACATTAGACTACCTTCCACCGGAAATGGGTGAGTAAGCTATTACTGATATCTTAAATGATCATGCCTTCAAGAGGTTAATCAAGTTTGAGATAAGGATTCTGCTCAAGTTTGAGAATTTTTGTGTTCAACCAATTTCCTAGACTAAAACTTTATGAGAGTATTTGCAGTTGAGAGTGTAGAGCATGATGCAAATGTAGATATTTGGAGCTTGGGAGTCCTATGCTATGAGTTTCTGTATGGGGTTCCACCATTTGAGGCAAAGGAGCATTCGGATACATACAGAAGGTAAGCATCAATTTTTCATGTGTAGACGAAATTACTTAGTATGTACTTTGCTTATTTTGATTGATTGTGTTCTTCTTCATCCTGAACTAGGATTGTGCAAGTGGACCTTAAGTTCCCTTCGAAACCAATCGTCTCTTCTGCTGCAAAGGACCTTATTAGTCAGGTGAACTTTTCTCATCTGAAGTTGATTCATCTAAACCATATACGATACTGCTGAGCAATGCAATTGCTCATAATCTTTTACAAGTACCTGACCCTTCATTTGTTAATTTGTTACAACTGATAACAGATGCTAGTAAAGGATTCTTCACAGCGCCTGCCTCTTCACAAGCTTCTCGAGCATCCGTGGATTATTCAAAATGCAGAACCCTCTGGCATCTACAGGAGTTGATTCACCTTCATGGATGTGATTTTTCTCTTTCATTGATGTGATTAATGAATCTGATGGGTCTTATTATTAAATCAATGTGAAGTATTTGGGGGGCTTCTAGTAGTAGTCCAGAGAACTCGGGGTATTTTTATCTGTTTGGACAAAACGTATCAGGAACATTTGTGCACGAACCCCCCATGCGCAGTATATTCTTGTAACAGTTGGCTCATATTCAATTAATTTTTTCTGCTGTTCTTTTCTCCGGCAAATGCCGAACTTTCATATTTAACAAATTTAACTTTCCGCTGCCATGGAAAAAGCTCATGGCTCCATAATCAGATATAGCCAAAGGAAATAGCACCAGAGTCTCCCCATAAGGATGATGCGGTTGGATTTGTGGCTCAACCATGGCTCGTCGCAAAGGAACGCGACAGTGTTTGGATGGACTAACTCATCAAGAGCCATAAGAAGCAGGCCAGGACGGACTTTTGAGTGATTTCCACCTTCAATTCAGTTGCCGGGTGATTCTCAGCTCAATAACCCGCAGGAATATATTTCCGGCAAGCTGAAACTTGGAAGATGAGCTAAACCTTTTTGAAAGCTTAATCTGATGCTGAAACTGTGGTTAAAAAGACGGGGGGACACAGAGCAAAAGTCATTACCAACCTGAGCCCGTGTTTTATCCTTGAGCAATGGTAGCTTCTCAAGGAACTTGTTTGTGCCCATAGACTACCCCACAGAGGTCATCATATACATACGTGTGCTAGTTTTTTCGGTCGAAAGTGGATGCTAGTTAATGAAAATACGGTCCTTTCCGCGACAAAATTCAGTACCATTGCCAGGAACCCATCTCCGGTTCTCCGTGAAGATCGGCGTTTTCTGCGACAACCCTGCCCAGAGCATACGATCTTGCCATTTCCAATGGACCACAGGTCAATGAAAATATTCGAATTCGAATTCTCTCAGCAGTACCTTCTAAAATGGAATGACAAAGAAAGACCCAGGAGAGTACTTAAAGGTAAGTTGATAATCCAAAGCTGTTTCCGGCATTGCACAAAAAGCATCTATTGACTACATCATATAAAACAAAGCGATATAACCATATCAATGGGTGTGTTCACACGTAATTTTAGTAGAAGAATCCCTGCTTCTCCGGTTATGAAGTAGGGCGAACGTCTTCACTTACGCGGTCTTCCCGTCGTTACAGTTCCCTCCCTCTGACGACTGGGTAGGCGGTTCTTCCTCTTCCGTGGCGTAAGCTACATTTTTGGTACTTAAGAAGCTTGGTTGGTTCGTTGAAGAAAGAAGTCTGGCCCACATTCTGTCCGTTATGACAACTTTGTTCTGCCTTTCAGTCACTCGCTGCACCAAAAATCCATGAAGTTACAGAAGGAAAGAAAAGGCATCATGATGATGTCCAAATTGCTATAGAAACCATCCCCTCTCAAATGTTGCTATCAAGTGAAAAATGAGAGATCGGAGCAAGCAATGCATGAGGTTTTAGTCCAGTTCAGGAGAAGTTGCAGGGTGCCTAAAAGGAGGAAGAAGAGAACTAAGAAAATAGAACCCTGACATTGATTGGAGGCTCAATTTTGGGTGGGAGCAACCTGAGAACCTTGTAGTCCACAATTTTACACCTTTAAAAAGAAAAGGATCTCCACATGCGGTCTCTTCAACTACTCCCGACACGAGAATGAAGCCAGAAGCGATAATGGATGTTTGGTTTCTCCAAGAGTCCAAGCTCGTAAAAATGAACCAACAAGGGTGTAGAAACGATGGATGTGCAACGATAAATATGACAAACTTACGTTTAAAGGAATGTAAGTATGTCGTGTATTGACAAGTCCAACTGTGAAGCCTGTGAAACCGGCCATTGCTCCATGGACTGCACTTTGCGCCAGAAGTGTGCAGTAAACATTGTCCGATGCATTACTTGGAATAGCCCGGATCATGTATGTAGGATCTGCCAAAAGACCACGTACGTAAGAATCTATTCTTACATCTAAACTAGAGATGATATTACAACGACCAATCATATGGAAATTCAAGGCTCTGGTCCTGACCTATATATTTAAGGGTAATGGCCATCTTTTGCTGTCTGGCAAAATGGTCCTGAAATGAAATGGACAAGAGGTTGTAAATATTTAAATTACGATTATTGAAACCTCCAAAATACAATTTAAAGCAAGTCTGACGTAAGTATGCATCCACTTGGATAAATGGTCAGTGTCCATTGAGGAATGATTGTTGATTTGAAAGGAAAATAGATCAACAGAATATAACACAAAGGCACGCACAACAACAATATCACAGTAAAAATCAAGACATGAATGTTTCTTAATATGCCACAAAAGTGTACCAAATAATCTTGGATATAAAGAGCAATACCTTGATTTTGTGAGATATCCACAGACCAACATCTTGAAGAAGCTTATTCCCTGAAGCATCTTGTTGATTCATTTGCAGGCTCTCCGTGACTAGGTCTTGCCCTGCTCCTTCAGCTATCACAATCACCATGTGTCCATTTTCTTTAAGTCGTTTTTCAATGAACTCATAGAGTCCACCATTCCCTTCAAGATAGAAAGGTGATTCCGGAATCAAACAGCAATCCACATCTCGACTGGCAAGGGTAGCATGCATAGCTATAAATCCTGCACGAGCATCCCAAAGAGAATTAGGTCAAAACGTGTAAAGTTGACACACTGTTGCCTCGATAATATATGAGTTGACAAAGTTTTTGGTAAGAGAATGAATGCAGCTGAAAGCACAACCTTTGTACTGGACTAAAGATTTATAACTTACACATGTTAAGCTTACCACTGTAGCGTCCCATCAACTTGACTACACCTATTCCATTTTCAACACTTTCAGCTTCTACATGAGCTGCATTAATTGCACGTTGAGCCTCCTCAACAGCAGTATCAAATCCAAAAGACTTGTCAATGACCTGGTTCAGTAGAAGAAAACAAATGGACAGGTTAAACGATATATTTTAAGTTACTCTACATCAACGAAAGAGAAGTTCATAGCAAGTACAGGGATGTCATTGTCTATAGTTTTCGGGATGCCAGCAACAGCGACTTTAAGCCCACGCCGTCTAATTTCCTGCATTGTAGAGTGCACGTTACAAGAAGAAAGAAAGCTAATATTTACCTACCATTCATCACTACATATGCGTGTGCGTGTGCCACCTATACATGATAGAAGGGAAGGGAGGGAAGTTGGTGAAAGTATTAATAGACAACGCCTTTAGACATGCTACTTATCGAGCAGTTTCTTCCTCAACCACAGAACGGTAATCATGAGGTTTTTTATGGAGAATAAGAGGACTAATCGGGCATTAGCAGGTAATCTAGAAACTCAAAACAAAGAGTCAGGAAGTAGTGTTCCTTTCTGTTTAGACAGAGCTACCTGAAATGAGTTTTCAAATATGGCTTGGGAAGCAAAGATTGAAGCAATCAAATCCAATATAATTGTCGACCAAGGACAGGCAACATCCCAGGAAGTCAATGAAATCATCGCTGCTGATTGTTCCATGGATAATTCTAGATGGCATTCTAGTAAATACGGTAAGGAAAATAAATTTTCCATTACGGCATAGAATATTACCTCATAAATAACAGCCGCCCCCTTCTGCGTTCCATCCCCTCCAATTATGTAAACCTGGTTACCAGATGCAGCGATTATTTCTTCTAAGTATAAAGATGTGATGCCAAAGCTACAATGTCTATCAATAATCGTGAGACTCAAATGTGCCAAAATATTGAAACTTACGAACCAACAAAAGTCCCCTTAATTGCACACCTGGTTAATCCCGCGATCTTGAATGCTGTCAACAATCTTCAAAGTATCATGGCCTCCTCGTGATGTCCCAAGAATGGTACCACCACGCTTATGTATGTCATTGACGACTTTAGGGTTCAAAGTTATGGTATTTTTGGAGTAGAATCCCCTATATCCGCCCTAGGAAAGTGCACCAAACATAGTAAGGAAACAGCATCACGAAGTTAACTGTTCTGTCAAATAAATTATATACAGTTTATCTACACAAAAAATTCACTAAACCAAATTGACAAATTATTGCAAAACTATACGGAGATTGAGTATGCTAATATTTTATTCATCATTTGCTGATTACATGCCTAAAATATAATCCAGCAACAGACAGATGAGTAATCAGAAGTCAGAGCATACACAACTGGAGAGAAATGAAGAATAATATTCATACAACAATAAAATGTAGTAAACGGTTACTGTGACACATAAACATATCATTCACTCACATCTATTCCGAGGATTTTGGTGACACCATACATGTGATAAAGGCCACACACAATTTCCCTGATCACAGTGTTCAGCCCTGGGCAAAGACCACCACATGTTACAATACACGCGTGCACTTCATCTGACTCAAAATACACCTGGACAGCAGAACGACAAAAGTCAGGAAATTTCAAAGAGTTCATCAAATTCCATAACATGCGCGAGATTTTGGTGGGACCACTGCCAACTGTTCTAAAAGCTTAAGCTGCTAGATGAAGGCATGGTTTAATATTTAATTACTCTAACAACACGTATGACATACCTGTTGGCGAGCTCCTCCACGTCGAAAATGAGTTCCTCTTGGGCCATCCTTGTGAACAACAACCTACAAGTTAATACAAATGCAGTTCCAAGGACTAGTCAGAACAGGCTATTAAATTGCATCACTTATAGTCTTAAATTGCATCAGAATAGGCTATTAATTTGCTCAAACTTCAGCTGCCATTGTAACTATTGCAGGAGGAGCAACAAAACAACTACAATGTGCATCATTTCACTCCCGTGTTCGAACATAATACATAATCACACCAATACTGCAATCTATTTGACAGGTAAATCAATCTTGCAAGAGACCCACCTTTTGAGGAACTGTGTCATCCACGTTGACAAAATATTGCCTGAACAAAAAAAGAATAAAGAAAAAGAAACAGCACAGAGATCAGCATTTTCCAAGAGACATACATTAACATCAGAGAAGTTCTATAGAAGTAAGCTCTATTGCTTAGAAGAAAACAATTACTCACTTAACCACCGCATATCCAGGATGAGACCGCAACGGATTCGGGTATGTCTGTTGCACAAAAACATAGCAGGGAAGATGAACTTAGTAATGTTAACAACAATAGTAAGTACTTCCATATCTAAATGATCGTAAACATAATAAAATGCAAGCTGGTAGACCACATATAGAAGTCAGAGTGCGCTTGCACCCGCTAGCACAATGTTTCATATATGCTCACATCATACAGTTCACATTCATATATATGTACGCGGGCATTTATTAAGAACCAAAGTGGTTTAATCAAACAAGTCAGAAAAGAAATTCCGCACATGATTAATCACATTCGGTGACTCTTTGTTCTTCAGATTGAGCTTTTTCATTTTTCTCATCCCCCAGTACAATTCATTTAGGAACTTTAATTGATTATCAACTGATCTTGCGGCAAAACCACAATTAACAGCGCGACATCCCCTCAATCAAGCTGTCGCGTGACCACTCTAACACTTAAGGTAGTCCCCGCAGATGGCACACAAACACAAGAGACTGCTCGCGTTTACAAGTTATCATCGTATCAAGACCGCAATCCCTTTCACGGCCAGAGACACCGCATTATAATCTTTCTGACGAATTAAAAACCAGGACTCCCGAATCGTCAAAATACATGGAAGCTCAAAATCACCAGTAAAGCATGTAACTTCAACATCTACAGCTCAAAATCTCACTCCCCAGACAAAGAGACGAGCACCCATTTGCCAAACAACACAACTTGTAAACGCCGAGCTCGACGCCGGGCGATGGGTCGACCGAACCAACCGAATCACCACAACAAGCCACACACCCACCGCCACCACCGCACAGGATATAAGCACCCACGATGCGCGCATCAAATGTAACACGTCAGAGAGACAGAGGGAGAGAGAGAGAGGGCGTACAGGGAGGTTCTCAATGTAATCCGTCAAGTGCGGCACGTCCTCGAGCACATACCCAGCAACCCCGGTCACCACCTTCATCTGGGTACTATTAGCAGCAGCGGCGCTCGACAACCCCATCGCCGTTCTTTCCACTCACTCCGACTCCCGGCGAAGGAAACAAGAAGGACCCAGATCCCGATCAAGAACCCACTCGCGCGCGCACACGCACACGCGAATCCAAAGCAACGAGGGAATCTTTCGTTGGCGCTCCTCTCTCTCGCCGCTCCTGTTGCGGAGAACGATGGTTTGTTCTCGTGTTTTTTTTTTCTTTTCTCTCGATTCGCGGAGAGAGAGAGAGAGAGAGAGAGAGAGAGAGAGAGAAACGCGGAGGAATAAAGGTTGACGCCTCGCGTCAGAAAACGGCGTCGCCGCGCCGACCGGTTTTCTGGTGCTTCCCGGTTTTTCCTCCAAAACGGTTGGCGGGGTTTTCCCCACCGGCTCCTGTCGGTCGGTCGGCGGACGTGCTTCCGATTCGATCTCGCCTATTGATGTTTTTTGTTTTAGCAAAGGTTTACTTTCATCAAAACTGAAACTACGCACTAGACCAACTAGGCCTCTCTTTCATTAAATCAACATCTAATTCACACATATTCAATAGTAATAATAATGAAAATGGTAATAATAATAATTACCCATTACACGCATACTCGATTTCTTTCGAAAAATGATTCATTTCGCTTTGTACATAACTCGCGCGCAATCTCGTGCGCGCGCAAAATGTATCTGAACTTTTTCGATTGCCTCTTTTGTTTTGTTTTTTGTTTTTTTTTTTTTTTGTAACCGAGGTGTCCGGGCCAGCTTGCGCGCACCTTGACTATTCCTCGGGGAGACTAACACTGACAAGCCACCGCCATGCCCCCACTTAAATCACAAGTCTTTCGGTGGGGAATCGAGCATCCTGGGGATCAGGTGTCTAACCACACAATCCCAAGTATGCCCTAACCAACTGAGCTACCCATGGGTGGGTATTTTTTGTATTTATTTCACGGTTTTCTAGATTAGTTTTTACTTTTTATGATGTTAAAAGTCGATTTTTTTCCTTTTTATATAGCTAGCAATCTATCTATCTTTCTTTCTTTCGATTTTATTTTCTAGATTGTTCCACTTTATTTGCACTATTCTCGTCCACGTTTTCTAATTAAATGTTTATATCTACTTCAAAGTCATGTAGATTTTCTCTTTGTTACTAGCAAGAAAAGTGCGAAAATCAAGGCTAATTGGTAATTTAATCGGAAAAAAAGTTGGCGAGTCATTGAAATGAAGATCGGTAAATTCATATAAAAATTGGTAGATTCTAAGGTGTTGGTAAGCTCGAACTAAAAATTTCTAGAAGTTAAGGAAATTTGATGCATTTGCAAACTGTCAAAAAAAAGTTGGCAATCCCATAAATGTATTGATAAGTACGTGACAAGTTTACCGGATAATCAGGGAACCGGTAATTTTTACACCAACAGTTTTTTGCTATTCATCAAGTTTTTCAGAAATCTACCAGAATGGGAAAAACAAATTCATTTTTCTAAAAACACAATAGTAAAATCGCCCCACTTCCTATAATCGTTGGTATTTTTAACTAGCTCTTTTTAGTTCTCTAAATCACATAAGTTTTTGGTACAACATGTGATAAAATTACAAAACACCATTAGGGAAAAACTTGCTCTTCCAATTTTTTATTTTAAAAAAAAAGAGTTGATAGTCAATGGCAAAAAGTTACTTCCTTTCTGTATCGAAACTAAGTGCATTCTTTTAAATGTGAAAAGTTATCGACATGCATCGAAAAGCTACTAATCTTCAACCATGAAAAATTAGTAAAAACGTGGCGAACTTACAATTACTAGAGGTTGTAATGTGCAACGTCCGTGCTTAATCACTCAGGCGAGTGAGACTGAATACGATGATCTGATCAGGGATCAATTGGCCAGCTGCTGTACTGTGTCGAACAAATTCGTCTCGGTAGCATCCTGAGAAATCTTATGAGTCGGAGGGCAAGGTCGTATCGATCGTTGAGCATTACGAGTCGGACTGCAGGCATGATCGTGTAAACATTGCCCGTTTGCATCGCGTATATGAAGCACCGTCGATTATTGTTCGTGATCGATACTATTACGAGGAGACCTAGTTAGTAGAACTGCTGTGGCTGAGGAGGTGGTGAATTTGTGATCCTTCTGCGAGATGGTCTTAAGAGGAAAAGATGTGTCAAGACTGGCAAATGACTGCTTGGCCTGACCATTGCTACATACAACTAGTGTGGAGTCGGGGATTTGGAGTTTCCGGGACCGAGTTTATTGTTACGTCGCATGCTCGCGCAAATGCGGTTACAGCACGAAAACTGCTTTGCCGCCTTCGTTTAATTGGTGAGCAGCATCCATTGCTGCTTAATTATGGTTCGGTCTTAGGACTTCGGCTCAGGACATTGCCACTTCGTGTAATATGAACTAGCTTTATGAACTGATTGCGCCGTGCCGAGTGGCGTGTCATCTTGATGGCAGACGACGATGCCAGTGTCCCGGTTTTGTACTATTGGGAGGAAACACTTGATAGGGTCAGAAGAATCGTCACATATAGATGCACAAAAACATGTCTCGGACAGATTCAGCACCCTTGACAGGTACATTTCCGGCTGCTTCGGCTTTGATTGATGAGCTCGTTGAACTGTGGCCAGAGAAATTACCAAATGAAAGGACATTAAGCAGCGTTGTTATATGATGATTGATCTTGAGTGAGGCATTACCTAGCTTCAAAGCAAGAACAAGAGGTCGCAAAAGAGATCAAACTTGGGTGTCAACTCCAGAATTTCATATGAAGAAATCCGTTTTGACACAGCCATAGCTGGAGATGATACTAACAAAAAGACCTCTGCTATTATTTACATAGATCACACTGTTTCTCGAGAAAGCTGCATAGCGGTGTCGCTTAATGTCGAAGGACGTAGCTGCTCCATCTACTGGGAGTTCCAGGTTTTCTTCACTTGCTGGATTCTCATACCCTGACGGCGCAAATGCATTGTATCAAGGCACTTTGAAAGTCCTAACCTCTACGCACCATGTCAATTTCACAGTTCTGCGTCCTGCCGACTACTCTAATTAAACACTGTAGACTAAGCTATCGTCGGCTTTCCTACTACGCCTGTAACTAGAAAGATATGTAGAGCTTCCGAGTAGCGGCATGAAGTCGAACTCGGGACCGACCTTTTTCCCTCCGCACCTTTCCGAGGGGCTGCATTGCTGGAGGATGTGCAGGACTTCCTTCATGGAAGGCCTAGTGGACGGCGATCTGCTGGTACAGACAAGTGCGAGCTTGAAAACGGTTGCCATCTCGTCCACATTACATGGTTCCTTGATCTCCTCGTCGAGGGCATCGGCGATCGGCTTTCCTTCCCCGTAGTGCTGCCACGCCCATTCTGTGAGGCTTGTGTTCTCGTCCCCGCTATTGGCTTGCCTCCCGGTCACCAGTTCTAGGAGCACGACTCCGAAGCTGTACACATCGATCTTCTCGTTCACTCTTGTGCTATATGCATATTCTGCGATGCAAAACACGGATTTAATATTTGTTGTATGATTAAGATAAAGGGGGAGGCTATTCTCAGGTCAGAAAATTTCCCTGAATAATTTCTTAGCTCTTACCAGGGGCGAAGTAACCGAACGAGCCCGCCACGGCCGACATGGTGTGAGACTCGCCGTGCTTGGCTAGCATCTTGGCCAGTCCAAAGTCCGCCACCTTGGCCTTGAACTGGAAATCCAACAAGATGTTGCTCGACTTCACATCGCGGTGTATGATCGGGGGAGAACAGTCATGATGCATATAGCCCAGGCCTTGCGCGGCTCCTATAGCGATCTGCAGCCTCATAGGCCAATCCAACACGGCACGGCGCGGCGAGTTCCCTCTCGACGTCAACGCTCTCTTGTTCTTGTGAAGCCACTTGTCCAGACTCTGATTCTCCATGTACTCATACACGAGCAGCTTCGAGTTCTCGCTCGAAATGCAGCACAGCAACTTCACTATGTTGGAATGGCGGATCGAGCCGAGTATTTCGACTTCTGCTGCAAATTCTTTCTCCTGTCTCCAGTCCAACTTTCGGTTGTTCCAAATCCTTTTGACAGCGACGTAGTCGCCCAAATCGTTAACCGCTACACGATACACCTTGCCCGAGCCGCCACTTCCTATGAGGGTATTGTCGGTTAGATTGGACAAGATGCTCGCTTCGGTGAACCCGAGCCTCTGAAACGAAGTTAACTTCCAAGTTGCGAGGTCGTGCCTGAGCTTCTTCCGCCGGTACTCTCTGATTACAAACAAGGAGAACAGAACAGCAGCTAGAAACATGGCAATCACAAGAACTAGAATCAGGGCGAGATACTTTGAAGGAACCTTGTTGGATTTACTGCTTCTGGTATAGCAGCTTCTGATGTTCGGCATGGGATCATCAGCGCATAGATCAGGATTGCTCAAGAAGCTATTTTCATACACTAGATTATTGAAACCATCTGGGATTCTACCAACTAGTCGATTGGAGGACAAATTTAGGGTAGTGAGCCTCAACTTGACCAATTCTGGGGGTATCACGCCTGAGAATTGGTTATCCGATAAGTCGAGATCGAGCAGGTGAGGCAACGAACCTATTGCTGCAGGAATTTGGCCAGAAAGCATATTCTTGGAGAAATTCAAGGTCGTTAGTGACTTCCAGGAGATGATCTTTGAAGGGAGTTCACCAGAAAGTTGATTGCCATCCATCGATAGAATGATAAGTCGAGAAAGACTAGTCAATTCTTCAGGGACATTGCCAGAGAACAGATTGTTGCTCGCCTTCAAGACCGCTAGACTCGACCATGAAGAGGCTTCGGTCGGAATTGGGCCGGAAAATTTGTTGTTGCTGATCTCCACTCTAGACAAATTCCATGCAAGCTTGCTCGGAAGACCACCCGAAAAGGAGTTTTGACTTACCATCAAGCTTGACAAATTGAACAGCGTCCAAATGCCCAAAGGAAGTTCGCCGGAGAAATTGTTGTTGTAAAGCTGAACTGTCCGCAAAGTATTGCAATTCCCGAGCGATTCCGGAACTTGTCCGCCCAGATTATTGGAGTAAGCAACAACACCTAGCAAGACCCCATTAGTGCAGAGAGTTTTCGGCAACTCGCCACTGAGCTTATTAGCCGAGATCTCAAAGGCTTCCAGTGGCGAATATAGGCCAAACTCG